ATCTCATCTTCCTTGCGGTCCAGAAAGTTTATATTTGTAATCCCATCAAAACATTTTTGGAATTCCAATTAGTTAATTCCAGCCTACCACAATGTAACCCATGACAAGAATAAAGAAACCAAGACGTATTCAAAGTTATAGGCAGCCAAGGGGTCTTAAGCCTGACCAATGTGAGGATAAATGAACAAAGAGCATGATCTAAGGCCTTTCCTGGTATTTATTATCTCGTGAAGAAGGGATGAGTGACAGTGAGGATGGTGGGAATTACATGAGCAGGGTGAGCTGAGCTAGCTGGGCAGAGAGCAAGCACCTATGTGATATGCCGACAGGCCAGTTTGCATAACTCAATAGGTATAGCATATGAATGAATTTAGGAGGATACTGCTTCAGTTTCTCATATATAAACTTTTGTACCCCGGGAAGTCATAGCCTCTCATTTTGAGGCTCATATCCAGTTGACATTTCTGGAGCTATCTGGCTCTGCCATCCTGTTGTGTTTAACCATTTTACAGGGAACATGAAGTGAAGAAATGGGAAATTGTCAGTTGGCCTTAAAAATTACATATCAGTACCTTATCTGCATTGCTTAGAGCCAGTTGAAGGGAAAGGGAAATAGTATAGCCAGGTCTGTGCATTTCAGTACACAGAACCAGGGCCTGGTTTGAATAATGCAGAGGTAAAAGTTCTGCATTCAAGGAGAGCTGTCCACTTGATCGTCTATACATTTACCTATAAATCCTGCCTTGTATGCAAGCTACATGCCATATGGCAGATGCAGCACTCACACCGTCTCAGTGCCCTCATCTTGCCCAGGCTGAAGATGTTTACGAAGTGAGGATCCTGGACCTTTGCTGATTCACTTAAACTTCTAAGCTTCTCAAGTTCACACATTAAATCAACCATTACTACATCCCGTGGCATAAGCAGCTGCCCTAGGGCATGTCCTCTATACCCTAGGACGTAGAACTGCTGAGTCACTTAGTTAAGCTTATAATCTTCTCAAGTTGACACAGTGTATCAACCACTACAGATGGTGTCCAGAAATCCTCTGGAGACATCCTTCTTTGGCTCATGCCATCAGACAGGCACCCACAGAAATCATTAATCCTATTCTCTTTTCCTCCAGCAATACTTGCAAGTGTCAACATGCAAATAGAATCCATCCACCTAGCCCATGTTCTTCATGGTCCCAGCATTTGCTCTCATTCTTTCCTCTAACTGAACTGCCTATCCTGGCATGTGTGCCTGTTCCAAGTTTTAGCCGTGTTATATAATCCAACATTAACACTGAGGCTTTTCAGATGCCTTTTCCCCAAAGAGAACATACCCCCTCTTCCTATAACAAATTGTCCAAGTCTTCCTCAGCAGTAGAAATGCTGTACTCCTGTCTGCCTCCTTGGCTCCTTGCACAAACCCCTCCTAGCAGGTAGGTACTCGGTCTCATGAACACAGGATCTGCCTGTAGTCTGTGCTTTCTGAACGGGCCCTGTCTGGTCTGCTAGACTGCTAGGTTGGTTGGAAACCAGCATAGTTTTCCCTGTGGCCAATCCAAAGTGCATACTTCTAACAGCAGTGTGAGAGGAATGAGCTATTCTCAAGGGCATTTTTAAAAAGGATGGTTCTTTAATGAGGTCCTTGCTGCTTTGAACTCTTCTTGTGCTTGTGTTTTATAGCTATCGATCTTTGTGATCATAAAAATAATGCATGCTTATTTTAAGAATGTGGAAGCAGTTGTAGAAACATGTGGCTTAGAAGGTACAAGCACTCCTGCAATGATTCTTTCTTCTTGGTTGCTTCTTTGCATTTTGTCTCCTCTCTCCAAAGAGGGAGACTAATGATCCAGGCCCTTTGGAACAGTATCAGTCTTTTGTTCAATACCTGCTGGGGGCTGTGTTTGCTATGACTTGATTTCACCAGGTGGGCTGGCTCAAGGAGCATGTCTCTGGGGAATGCAGCAGTAGTACCCTGCGACACAGCATTGTGTAGTGGGGGAAGTGGGCACTGCCATTAAGGATCTATGAAAACAGAGGCTAGCCCAGATCATCTCCTGAGAAGTGAGAATGAGACCACATCTACCTGTTATAGAGTGAGATTAGAACTGAAGAGTGAGACTAGATGGGGGGAAATATACTGTTGAATTCTGTGAATCACCATTTGAAAAATTATTACCACCAAACAGCTCCCCTGGGATTCTGAGTCCGTTGACTCCAGTCATTTACACACACACATACTCTCTCTCTCTCTCTCTCTCTCTCTCTCTCTCTCTCTCTCTCTCTCTTGCTCGCTCTCTCTCACACACACACTCACACATAATGATGCTAGCTGGTACTGCCTGTACCCTTTGCAGGTAGATACTGGGATGTTTGCAAGTCTGACAGGGATGGCCATCCATCCAGAAGCATGAGTTCTGGGAGAGTAGGCACACATGTCCAGGGCCCCCAGACCCACAGGAAGAGCAGAGTGCAAAGCAGCACAGGCCAAGGGTCCCTAAGGCCAGTCTATGTGACTCCCCTTCAGAGAGCGCCCCACATCCTGTCAGTGTGTAGTGGGGACATTGATATTGCCTGGCTTCTCTCTCCACTGCTCCCCACTGCATTGCCCTCTCTGCTGGGAGAAAGGTGTTTGTTTGGGGTCTTCAAGTGTCAGGGAAGGGCACTATGGAAAAGAAGTGACAGTGTCACGTGAAGGCAGGGAGAGGTGTGTTCCAGTCAAAGTGAAGCTGAAGGGTCCGTGCAGAGAACCTGCCTTTTCCTCAGTTCTGCACAGCTGCATTTCCGGCTTCTCCACCCCCTTGAAATTGCTCTCCCAGGCCACAGCCATGGAGCCAGCAGGATGCTTGGTACCTCCTCTGCCTCTCTCAGGCCTGTGCTGCCGCTCATGATGCTGACGCCATGGGGGAGCAAGATGGGGAGGACTTCTCTGGGTCTGAGGGACACCGGCATGCCATAGACTCAGGCTCAGTGTAGGACTCTGTCCTCACACTGATCCTGTGCAGGTGCAGAGAGGAGTAACTGGGAATGGAGGTGCTGCAGGGGACACTGCAGTGTCTCAGTCTGTGCGCGGCTGCAGCCAAGCTCCGGGCCCCACGAGCTGCTTGCCCTGCCTCCTCTGCATCTCTTGCTGCTTCCCCAAGTCTCCTTGTGCCCTGCCTCATGCTGTCCTGTACTGTCCTTGTCTTGATTCCTCTCTGTCCTCATCCCAGCCCCTGGTCTTCCATTTGTTGGATTCTAAGGTGTCAGTCCTGTATGGTTACAGTTTGTTTTGGTACTGGGGATTGAATTCAGGTTCTCGATCTCGTGCATAGCAGGTAAGCGCTTGAGCCACTGAGCTAAATCCCCAGCCCTGACGGTGTCAGTCCTTGTGCAGTCCCCAGCCTTTGGTCATGTGTCCTCCTCACTCACTTTAATCACCACAATTCTAGTTCCTGTCCGGATGGTCTTGTATCTTGACTCTGATGTGGGCATTAACTTCCTTCCACATGTAATCTGTATTTATTTTAGAAAATGATGACAAACCTTTTCCCTGGCTTTCTTCACTTCTGATCTCTCTGGCTCCACGCTGTCCTGCACACTCCTGCAGGGGAACTCTTCCTGACACGTCGCCCATGGCACTCTGCACCTCTAGGGTTACCTTCTCCTCCACAGCCTGTCTGATGTGTCACAGATGCTTCCATCTGGCATCCCAGGGCCCACCTAGGACATACACACATCCTGCCTGCTTGGGCCCATCTCCTGCCATCCACAGACTCTGCGCTGTAGCCATGTTATAGCCTGAGGGTACACCTATCTTAGCAGCTAGCTCAGGCTGTTCCCACTGTTGAGAATGCTGTCCCCTTTAGGGATACCCTGAAGGCCCACTTCCACTTTCATGATTGTCCCCAGATACTATTTCCCATCTTTGAACCCCGTACACTGACTCGCACTTTGCCTGTCACAGTTATTGGTGCACTCACTTTGCACAGCCAGTGAGAGACAGCCTGCGTCCCGTATTGAGGATGTTCTAGTTATGTGACCTTGGTATGTCATGACCGCTCTGATACTCAACTTTTTCACCTGTGAAGTGGGAGCTGATAATATACTATAACTTGGGTTCAGTTTCTCCAAGGATTTAAGATATGCACGTCAGGATTTGGCACAGTTTCTGGAACACAGTGAGCACCAGAAAAGCAAGTTTTCACAGTAGTGCATACTTATAATCCTAGCACTCTGGGAGGTCAAGGTGGAAAGGTTGCAAGTTCAAGCCCAAGCTAAGCAGCTTAGTATCTTAGTGAGACCCCCGCCTCAAAACAAAGGGCTATGGATGTAGCTCAGTGTGAAGGCTCTGAGTTCAATTCCCAGTTCCACAAAAATAAAAAACAAATTCCTGCAGTTATAATAACTTGTGTCCAGCCTTCCTCTTCGGGCCACCCATGGGTGCCTGCTCACAGATGGTGCTGAAGCTCTTTAAGTCCAGGGGAGCAGACTTGAACACTGGTCTCAGCTTACCAACCTGGTGGGAGGTGAAGTGTGATGAGCTGAAAGACTGTCCATAGCCTCAGCTTTGGTAGCTGAACTCTCCCCTGTTATCTTTTCTTCTGCATTCAGCTTGTGGTGCCCCTTTCATGTTGTTTGTGGGCACAACAGAGGCTACATCCTGAATGGAGCCAGAAGGCTTCTTTGGCACTCACCCAGCCAGCGCCCAGGTCTTCAAAGGAGATTGGCTGACAGGGGATTTAGGGTAAATCCAGTGAGGCTCAGGCAGCAGCAAGGAAAGAGGAGAGACTGCCTTGCCCTAATCTTCAAGGAAAGTCTTGGTGGCTGCCTGGTCTATCAGGGGCAGCTGCCAAGGGAATGTTGCAACAGAAACATGACCATGTTCCTTCCTTAGATATCAGCAGGGCTGCACCCAAAGTTGTCCCTAGAGGTTGAGCCACCACCTCACTTTCCTCCAAACTAATGAGGACTTTTTGGTCACCACTACCCCATCCCCAATTATAGCCTGTCTTGCTTTTTCTCTTGCAGCCAGACGGCACTCCAGGGTCCGGCCCAAGATGACACTCCTGAACTATGCCTCTCCACTGGCCACAGCCAGCCGGCCACTGAATGAGATGGCTCTGACCCCACTGACGGAGCAGGAGGGGGAGGCCTACCTGGAGAAGTGTGGCAGTGTCCGGCGGCACACAGTGGCCAACGCCCACTCAGACATCCAGTTGCTGGCCATGGCCACCATGATTCACTCAGGCTTAGGGGAGGAGGATGGCAGTGAGGACAAGTGCCTGCTCCTGCCGCCCAGCTTCCCACCACCCCACCGGCAGTGCTCCAGTGAGCCCAACATCACTGACAGCCCCGATGAACTGGAGGAGGTGGCAGGGGACAGCCAGGAGGATGCAGAGCTGAACTGTGCTTCCCTCAGTTGAGTCACCGCCTGGGACTTTCCCGCTCCAGCTCCACAACCAGGATGAGGACAGTCAGCCCCACAGACCACTCCTCTGTGGGCAATGCTGCCTCATTTCCTTTAGGGCCCAAGCCTGGTCTCAGTGCCCTGCAGGGAAACCCTTTATTTTGACCAGCATTTCTTAGCCACACAGACCCGACTGCCTGCAGTTCCCTTCTGACCTCTAGCCTTGTCCACCTGACCTAGATCTTCACTGCTTCACTTTTCTTCCTGTGATACTGGACTGACACCAATGCTCCCAGGAATCTACCCCACTGCTCCTAGTATGCAGGTGGCAGGGGTGGTCTGGACCACACATAAAGCCACCAAGAACATGTTGGCCCCTGCAGCTCCCCCATCAGGTTCCTTTAACACAAAGGCTTATGGGTACAGAGTGGTAGAGAAGTTTTGTGTAGAGTGAAAGTCAGTTGCATCCTCTGCCATGCATGGCCCTGGGAACACACCATCCTTACCTGAGTTTTCAGATTACTGGGATGGCCCTGCCCCATAGTGAGTGTGGGTCCATCCTCAGCTATACCCACAGACAACGTGCTACCTATGTGAAGGCCTTTGGCTTTTGGCCCTGGACAGCCAGAGACTGGAGCAGCCCCACGGGCACTCAGCCTCAGTGTTTCTCTCAGGCTGACTCCCAAGTGCAAGGAACCGACCTCCTTCAGTCACTGGTGCCTTCATCCCCCTCGTTTCAGAAACGGACCACTTTCTCATCGTGGGTGCAAGGGGCTGGGTGATAGCAACCAAGTAATCTGTACCTGGATTTGACTTGAATTTTTAAAACAATGTATTGTTTCAAAAAATTGTTTGTGAGTATTTGCACATAGGAAATTACACTGTTCATTTCCAGTGGGCTGTGTCTTGCAACTAAAACTCCACAGTAGAAAACTTGCAGACGCCCAAGAAAGGAGACTAGGAGTGGTTCAAAATAAAGTGATCCATAGCTGGCAGGACTCACGTGCTATGGCACTCTGGAAGCAGTGGGAGTCAAATCCCAAGCGGTGCATGTTTGTGGTGGGCATGGCCTCTGGGAAAGGATGGGGAGACTGCCCTGTGAGCAGATGTGATGTGTCAGTGCATACAGGGAGGCAGTGGAGATGTGGGCAAGATCTCTTTGCGGAAACTTATTTTCTGCAACAACAGTGTACCCAGAAGTGCCTAGAATTTCCAGCAATTCTGAACTGTGCTGTGTCCTTACTACCACTTTCTGCAGATGACGGGGCTTTTGATTCACCTTGAGTTGCTGCTCTCTTTGTCTTCTGTCTACCCTACTGATAGCAGTTCAGGAAAAAGAGAAGGTTCCCCTTGATGCTTCTGGTGGCATATGTTGGCTTTTCAGGGTCCTGTTTGTGGAAGTTTTATGTATGAAATCTCAAAATATTCACCACAGCGGCTTCCAGTGTGGCAAGAGGGTGCTGGGAGAGGATGAGGGTCTGTGTGAGCCACCAGCTGGAGATGAGACCTTCCAAGCTCATCGAAGACGTGATAGCGTTTCCTTTCTGAGTGGAGACCTGAAATATGACTAGAATTGTGATTTTGATGGCTTATCACTTGGAAATTATTTTTAGAAAGTTGTTTTACTTTCATCCATGAGAATGGTGGAAGAGGAGTCCAAAGGAGAGCTCAGACATTTATACACACACACACACACACACACACACACACACACAACTTGTGTGTGTGTATTGTATAAAGTCCACAAAAGACTGGCACGCATTAGCAAATAGAACACCAATAGGTAGCAACGTCTTGATTTACTTAAAACTCCTGACTTTTGTTCTTGTTGGACATTTAGCATACACTTGGGACTGCTATTTATTGATTAGGCAAAGTAATTAACCATGCTTGGGGTTGCTTATTTAGTTTATAAGATTGACACCCATTTTAAAAAGGCCTTTTCGGTGTCACAACTTTGATGGGAGAGTGGCCATCAGTTAAAGGCCTAAGCTCTCAGGTTGCGAATCAGTGTCAGGACAGGCAGTGTACTTAATTGCTGCTGTTAGCCAGTTTACAGCTTTAACTGTCCACGCCTGATACAGTACAGTAAATATTTCAGGCTGTCCACAAAAATTTTGTGGATGTTTTGTGGCATTTTAGCTATTAGACCCATTGCAACAGTGACACTTGGAAGCATTTTTAACCGCTTTTCCTTCCTCTGTGCAATGAAGATTCATTTTTTTATTAGGTGTGCCATGATCTTCCCGTGGCTAAGGTTGAGTGACAGGAAGCAATCACAACTCAACTCTGAATGAACTCACAAACCCAAACCTTTCATTCATGTCAACTGTTTCCAAAACAGACCAAATAAACACGTTGTTGTCTGTGCTACTCTGTTACCATGCTGGGCGCCTCCGTGTGTGTGGATCAAATTTTCAAGCACAGCAGTCCAATGAGGTCTTCGTGTATCCTTCGTGTACCCCTTCGTGTATCCTGGTCCCACCCTCCCTGCTCCTGCTTGTCCTGCTCCTTCACCCCTTTCTCCCACAGCCCATTCTCCAGTTAGGTAGTGGCTTTACCTCAGCAAATCTCTGGGTTTTACTTAGCATCCTGGACTAGATAGGCAAACCATTCCCTAGAGAAGCAACCTGCCTGTGGCATTTAGCAAACACATGCAAGGCCTCTTTGAAAACAAGCATGGTTTCTGTCCCCAGAGTGTGTGAGCTAGATGGGACACTAAGTGTGTTTACTCTGGGACTGTCCATATTTTGCCCATTCTGATGGGTGGAGAGAATTTACAGTTTACGCTGCATAAATACTCCTGGGCTGGCTGTTGCAGCAGTAGCTTGAGCCCTCTGAAGACTAAGAGCACTAGACAAGGTGTGATCTGTATTGATTAATGGTCTACATTTTGCTGAGCCTCCATCTGTTAGCATTAAGATAAGCAGTCACTGCGTAGTTGCCCTCAGGAGGTTTCACATCACTGGTGCCTCTGTGACATTAGCACAGCACCACAGCCGTTCCAGTCACTCCCATCCGGTACTGTGGAGCTCTCAATGTGATTCATCACTTTTCTTGGTACTAAGGATATGGTGATTGGCATATAGTGGATATGGTGATTGGCAAATAACCAAGATGCCAGCTCCCTTAGCGCTCACTGTCTAGTGGGGAAGGCTGGAACTCCGCTCATTATCAGCGTTTTAAATAATGAACATAAAGGATAGTAAAGAGCCAATGACTAGAGGTGACCAGAGGGTGACCACAGGTAAGGTGCCTGGAAGGTGTCCCTCTTGGAGTTGACTTGAGCTGAGACCTGACTGATGAGCGGGACCTAGGCTCCCACTCTGCTTTCAGTGCCTGTCACTGCCGTAATAAGCCTTTGTCACTTAAGATAGCACACATTTTATTAATTTTGAAACTTAAGACGAAAGTCCCTGTTATCTCACAGCTCTGTCGGTGGTATCTCACAGTCTGACGTGGGTCTTACTGGACTTCTCAAAAGGAAGGCATTGTCAGGGCTGCATTACTCTGGAAGTGCCCAGGGATAAGGTGTCCTTCCCTTTGCCAGCTGCTCAAGGCCGTCCACATTCCTTGGCTCATGGCTGCGCTCACTATTTTCAAAGCCAGCAGTGAGTGGTGGGCTGTCCCACTGTGTCACTCTGACCTGGGTTCTGTTCCCCTGTTCCAGTTCTAAAGACCCTTGTAATTACATTGGGCCACCTGGGTACCCTGCGTAATCTCCCATCTCAAGACTTAATCACATTTACAAAGTCCCCCTTGCCTTGTAATATTCAAAGGCTCTGGGGATTAGGATGTCAATGTCTTGGGAGTAGATTATTCTTCCTACCGCCAGAGCCTCAGGTTCTGCTTTCTTTATTGACTGATAACTCTTGTGGGCAGAATTCTCCTGACAAACCACCTTGGCCTACTCAGGAAGTTCCTTGTCCACATCCTCATTTGTAAGATCTCATTTCAGTGAAACATTTTTTTGGAGAAAACTACAATAGGAAAACAAGATGGATCAAAAAGAGCCTTCCCTAAGGGTTTCCCTACATTCGTGCTACCCAACAAGCTGTAGGAGGTTGGCTGAGCTCTTCTGAAAGTTCCTGGATGCCCTGTGCCCCTGTCCCTCTGGCCAGAGACTTCTGGTATCCTCTGACATTCTCTCTCAGGTCTCCCTTATCTCCCCAGCAGAACTGCCCTTCTGCTGCTCAGGCAGAAGAAAAGCCATCTGTGTGGTCTGCTGGCCCAGGAAGGCACAACTGCAGTGCATGTGGGTCCTGTTTTCAGTGTCAAGGGCACATTGGGTAGACTGACCTAACGGCCTTAAAGCCTGCCCCCTGCCCCCGTGGCCTGGAGTCCACAGTGACCGAGATTGTAGACTCTGGATCAAGTCTTTTATTTCCCACCCCGTATGCCTTCAGGACTCAACTTCCCTTACTAGGATTTTACAACTCCGTATTTCTATATTCGTTTCCAGATTTCATTTTTCCCTGGTAGATGTTCCCAGCTGATGTTTCTAAAATGCAACTCCTGCTATAAAACTCTTCCTTGGCTTTCCATAAAATCCATACACCCAAGCTAGCCATAACTTCAAGGTCCTCCACAAAGTGTCCGCAGTGGCCTTCCTGACCTTGTTGGCTACTATCTTGTTCATTGTTCTGGGAAAATGTCTCCTCAGTTCTGCCCACCGTGCCTTCTCCTGAGGACCCTTCTGCTTCTCCTGGTTCCTCTGTACATTCTCAGGTGTTCTCCCAGGAAGGCAAAGATGTGGGATTTATATTTGTAGGCCTTGGGTCTCGCAAGCCAGAGAAGATTCTGTGGGATGGAATATTTCTGATCTCCACCCCTTCTCTCCTGGTTGACTCCTCCTCCTTTCTCCCTAAGCAGAAGTCTTCCCCATCATGCGTGTCGCAAGCAAGCCCATGAGACCAACACTCCTGTGAACCCAGGTGGGGGACCAGGATCCGAACCACTCCTGTTCCAGTCAGAGGCTGCTACTTTCATCCAAAGAATGAACCCTGCCCATGGGGCTTCTCTTTTGCTTTGGAGCCAGTGGCCCTTCTTGACCGGCCCTCTTTTATTTGGCATAGGGTCATCTCTTTGCCAAGACATGGGGAAGAGTGTCCCAAGCCAGTATGCTGAGGCCAGAATGCTCTTGCAATCATTCCCCTCTCTCAGGAAGACTAAAATTCTACTGCCCTGCTACACGAGGAGTCTGCTGATCCTCGCGATGGCATTCTTAATGGGCATTCTGCAAATGAGCAAACTGAAGCTGGGGTCCCTAGTGATGCAGCTGGGTGGGATGTGGCCCTAGGATCTTTCAGCTCAAGTCCAGCTGTCCTATTCTCTGAGGTGTCCTGGCTTGATAGGAACTGAGGAATGAGGATAGCTAAGCCAGAGCAAAACCTCCTCAGCCTGCTACAAGGAGAGAGAAGACTTGCGCCATTCTGGAAACATCAACAACCAAAGCTGCATCTCCTGCCCTCTCCTCTCCAGCCACTCGAGAGTGTTTGTGGGTAAGGATATTCTGGTGTCTTAGGCAAATTTCTTAGGTAAGAATGATTTCAGTGGGGTTTTTTCCCTTTGATATTAACTTTAAATTTGGCTTTAAAATAATATTTTAAGTTTAACAATTACTAATAATTTAATAAAAATACAATAGTTTTTCTTCATAATCAATATTAAAATTCAAATTTGATTTTTAGATTTTTAAGTTCAGCTCATCAATTTTGTTATTTTAGCAGTAACTTCAGAGGAGATTTAGAATACAACTTGCTTATATATATATATATATATATATATATATATGTTCAATACTTAAATCACTTAAGTAAAATTACAAATTTAATATATTTATTTCTTTTTAAAATACTTCAGCTTTTCTGATAGCAAGCAAAATCATCCCCAAACCTAAGTAATTATAGAAGCTAATAAATTAAGGTTATAAATAAAGGAAACCTGAAATCCAGTTAAACGATTTTATATTCTACTTAAATTTAGATGTTATCATAAAAATTCACAAGTCTAAACTAATTCAACTGTTCCATTTTAAAGTGGAGTTATAAAAATGTCACTCTAATAGGCTTTAATCACTTAAATGTTGCACAGGTTTAAATCACCAACTATGCATAAATTCCTTCTAATGTAAAAATGTTAGTGTTTTAAGCTATGTTTCTTTTGAAATTTTCTACACTTACACCTTTGTGGGGAGTCATGCTATCGTCTCAGATGCAAGCTGTCTTTTGGGATGCTGTGGTTTGGGCTCTACAAACCACATTTCTGCTTTGTCAGCTGGGTCCTAAGGCTCTGCCAACAGGAAGGCTGGTGGAACGAGAAGCAGTGGGCGCATTCTGTCTTGGTCAATGTGAAGAGTGAAAGTTGGGTCCAGCAGCAGCGGTGAGTTCCTGTTGGCAGTGCTCCCACATTCTCAGAACCAGCCTCGACACCTCCCCTCTGACAAACCGATGCCAGCTGGCTTGGTCCCCTCCGCAGAAGTTGGAAACCCAGCGTTGAGGGCCCCTCTCCAACCTCTGCAGTGCCAACATTTCTCTTTTTGTTTTCCATATCACCTGCATGATTCCTCTGTGTTTCTTCTTTGCCATTTTATTTGTTCAGTTCTTGGTTAATAATTTTTTTTATTAAGTTCTCTCTGTTAAAATAACTGATGAGGCTTATATCCTCTGACTAAACCCTGACTGATGAATCTGGTTTAAAAAATACAATCTTTAAAGAAGATAGTCATCATTCCAGGTAAGCAAGTTATTCGTTTGTATGTGTTAACAGAGCTGAGGACAACCAGAGATTTTTCTCATCTCCATCTGCGGAGGCTCTAACATTATCTAAGTAATTATGGTGACTTCTCTGCAGCATTCTTGGGTTCACGGGAGAAACACAGTTCATTCTTGTCAAAGTCCCCAAAAAACAATGGGTCCAACTTATCGTTGCTTAGTCAATGACTTCATAACTTTGAAGAAATACTCTTGGAGGCTTTGTTCCTGGCTTGGGTAACTGTCTGACTCTTTAGAAGAATACCTGTCTCACTCAGTCATTCATTAGAATCGTTCCTAATTTCCTTGGCTTTTCTGGCCTAACTGCAATGACCTTTATGAGGAATCCTAAAGAATGAAAATATCTACAACATAATAGAACCTGAATTCTTTCATATTCTCCACATAACAAATAAATGTCTTAATCTCAGTCTGATATCAGGTAAATATCTCAGATAGCTTTGCTTGTGGTCCAATTTATGAGGTCATTCCTGTGTCTGTAGACTGAAGCAGAGTGAAGTCAAATTTTTGCTGTATACTTGAGTTCAATAAATAGAAATGGCATAAAACCTCTGGTCATAGGGGAATGGATTATAACAGATTATTCTTCTCACCAAAGTA